CTCAGAATACACACGTGGAATGAATCATGTAATGTTTATTAACTTCATAGATCATGCCAATGGACACAATGGATTTTAATAATAATATTAGAAGCACTTATATTTACCAGTTAAAAGGTATTGTTGTATACTAACTAATACAAGAATACACTTTCAGGAAATTAGCTTCAATACCATAAAATCTATGATGCAATTCAAAACAATCTAAATAAAATTTGAAACATTTTAAACCATGAAAAAGAAAATTTTCCTGAAGGAAGCTGAAACAAGGTCATTTTAAATTATAATAGCCTTATGAGAAAACACACAATTGTGGATATCAAAAAACTTCAAAAAGTAATGTAAAAGTCTAAGGCAGAAAAACAAAAATAAAGAAAGCTCCATTCAGTTTCCTACCAATGAATCTTTAGTTATATTGCTATTTTCTCAGAAAAATTAAGGCTTTTCTAGTGTTTTTGCTGTACTTTCAAAAGAGCATGATTGTTTTGCAAACAGAAGCAAAAATTTTATCAATCGTAAATCTTAACACCAATAACTGGTATGAGTTTGGGCATGATTATTTTTGACTATTAAACAATATGTAATTTTTTATAGATTGCATAAATTTTAATTTACATGGAATAGTGTTTTGATAATGTAAAGGTCTAATAGTCTCATTTCTGTTAGTGTGACTATAATCAAGGGAAAAAAGCATAACATACCTTTATATTATTAAAGAATTGATCATTGGGATGGAATAGGTAATGGGACTGTCCATGGAATCCTTACATTTTAGATAGAAATGCCAAAAATTTAAATTTATTGTTTCTGCAGTTGGATTTAGACAGGATGTAAATATATTCACTGAGGCAGAGTTATATCATATGCCAGTCAGAAATAGTTATTTCTTAGTACTTTGAAAGTGGAGAAGCAAACATGAACTTAGAGACTAAATATGTTGACACCTAGGACATATATTGGACAAATTAGAATTTGCACATAACAATATTAATTTGGAAGGCTGAGCATCATGTTTGTTCATGAATCATGCAATTTCTTTCCAAAATGTTGACTGCCATGATGTACGCAGTTACATTTTGACATGTCTTTAAAATACCAATTTGTGCAATAAAGGTAACAATACTTCTTTAAGTTAGTTTTAAAACCCTGTCTCTGATTAATAGAATCACCAAGAAATTAGAAATAGTTATCTACTGGAATCATGGCTGTAAGTGTACTGAATATTATGAATACAGACTTTATTTTTTTGTATGGTGGATACATGTCATTATACATTTATCAAAGCCCATAGAATGTACAATACAAAGAATGAAACTTATTGTAAACTGCGGAATTTAGTTAATAATAATGCAACAATTTGGTTCATCAATTGTAACAAATATACCACACTAATGCAAGATGTTAATAATAGGGCAAACTATGTGTATGACAGGTGGGAGTTGATAGGTTATATGGAATATGAGAACTCTGCACATTGCACTAAATTTTTCTGTAAACCTAAAACTGCTCTAAAATTGATTAATTTTTAAAAAGAAGCTCCTGATGGCATTTTATTGTTTTAGAATAAAAATCAAATCCTATTCACTTTCCTTTATGATCTTATTTAATTTTTATTTTTAAATTAAATTTATTGGAGAATGGTTAGTAAAACTACATAGGTTTCAAGTGTACTATTCATAATATATCATCTACATATCACGTTGTGTGCTCACCATCCAGAGTCAGTTCTCCTTCCATCACCATATATTTGTTCTCATTTATCCTCATCTACCATCCCCCCTTTCTGATTTTATTGCTGCTTAAGGTGTCACATAACTGCAAAGTCTGAAAAGGATGCTTCCGTATTTCCCCTAAAACAATAAGACCATCATATTACTGTTTTACAGATTGTTCATGGTCTGTTTTATATCTTAGCTATTGTATAAATTAACTCTCCAACAAGACCTCTGCCTTGTTCTTTTTACTCCTTTATAATAATAGTAAGAATATTAAGTTCCATCTATATTAGTTTGCCCCCAGTCTATCGCAGCTTGAAATTTAAACATGAGCTTTATCATTTGGTTATTAGTTGGAGTGAAAAGGTTGGTTTACCAGTAATAGTGCTATTTTGTATAATTGCTTTGGGCTTCTCAGAACTAACAGATCTTTCTTAAAGTGTATGATGCTAAAGGTGCAACATTTTGTCTCCCTAATGGCATAGGTACGCCAGTCACCTGAAGAGCAAAGAGCACGATGCCAACCTTTCTGGAGTGATGGGATAAGGCTAGAGTGTTAGTTTTATATTTTCTAGGAATCCTTTTGGGAGGTAAATGAAATGGTGAGTTCTAATATGAATGATAAGAAAGGAAGATATCCTAGGTACGAAGAACTAAGGATACCAGAAGCAAAGGAGAGGAATCACTTCAATTTAATTACTGAACTTTGACATAAAACCAGCCAGTGTCAGTCTCAATCAGGATGTGACTACTGCTGCTCTCGACTCCAATAAATCAATTTGAAAGACAGATGAATGGCAAGTCCAGTCTTTAAAGCCTCTGTTCTTTGTTTTCAACTACAAGTAGGCAAATATGTTATACATGGATTAATAAAACAGTTTAACAAAATTAAGAAGTTATAATTAAAATGTATGCAATTAAAATTCTGAAATAATTTCTGAAAAGAAAAATGATCCTTTACAGACGTGATGGCATCATATGATGCTACTAAGACCAATGGCAAAAGATCACAGGTTAATTTAAAGAAAGAATTATAGGTTTGCCAGGGAATGTAGTCACCACAGTGATCCAATACTCAAAATCAAAATTTAGAGTAGCCCAAAACACGTGCAAGTTATCAATCACACAAATGATAAAATTTCAAGCTATATTAAAAGAAAACATTTAAAAATAAACTTTTCCCCTAACTAAAATAAGCCCATTTCTGAAGTAGGCAAAACAATTTTAATTTATTTCTTGGGTCATCCATGATGAAGACGTGTCTAATCAGAGCAAAATAAAATGTGTTTGAGATTATCACGGCAGTGCATTATCATTAGAAATGAAATTAATTGTTTATAATGGAACTTAGTATGCAACAAGTTGATGCATTCTACCTTCAAACTTCCAATGTTAGGTCTATTAATTTCTAAAAGCTTATGTCACTCATAAAATAAAACATAAACAGAAATAAGTCTTAACTAGAAAGGGTACCTGGGAAATATTCATTCATTCTTATACCAAACTAGCCAATAAATATTTGTTGAATATATACTATGTACAGGTGTACTAGGGATTGAGAGTATAGTAGTGAATAAGAAAGATAAAGTATCTCACTTATGGTGCTTACTTTCTAGTGGGGGAGGCAGACAGCAAGCAAACAAAAACAAATAAGAAAGTAGGCATGCGTGCTATGAGGAATATAAAATAGGGTGATATGAAGAGAACAACAAGGTCATATTTTGGACTGGGTGGTCGGAGACAGCCACAAGGAGGCACACAGATGCACGGTTTATAGACTGAAACAAACTGAAAACCACTGCAATGCCATCAATACTGGGAATACTAAATCAATCAATGTATCTATGCAATACAGCAGGTATAAGGAATTGAATATATGTAGTAAAATTTTTTAACTTTCCATGATATATTATTGAATTAAAAATTGAGGATGTCAAGTGTTACATACAGTATGATAATATTTTTTGTTAAAATATTAATTTCTATGGCTTCATACATATGTCAATGCATAAGTGGATGCATAATATTATACATAGCAAAATATAAATAGGAGGGAACTTGGGGGGAACGGTGGGCATGGAGACCCAAGGTGGTGATTATTAATGGGGCCTTTTGCCTCTTTATATTATGTTAAATTTTAACAAGTAAAAGATACTCATGGATTATTTTTATAATTAAAAAATAATTTAAAACATTTTAAAGTAAGGCAATTTGATAGCTTACACCGAGATTAAAAGACAAGTTCTAATTTCAACTTTACTACAATCTTGAAATTATCATTTAAGTCAATGCTTTTCTGTACAAAAAGAAGGAGATATTATCTCTTCACTATCAACTATACCTGGAGAACTTATACTCAATGTTAAATTCACTGCATTGATAAACTATTATGTATATGAACACGATCACCGTAGAACAGATGTGAAAAAAAGGAAATAAAGTGGTTTTAACCTTTACTGTTTAAAACTCACCCAGAAAAACAATTCAATGATGAAACAGTCCAGTAGGAAGTGTGATGGGACAGAAGTTGTGCTGCAGTGGAAAGCTTTTTGGTCACTTTTTAGATACATCAAGGAAACAGGAACTACAGTGATCTGAGATAGCCTGCTTTGAAAGGCAGATGAACACACTTCCTCTCACTGAACGGTTTTCTTCAAGGACAACTTAAAGTTTAAATTTTGTAAAGCCAAGACAAGTTCTTTGTAATGGATAAGAGCCATGGTATCAGCAGATGTTAGAGAAAGTAGAGCGTGATTGATTCCTAAGGTTAACGCTGACCTCAAACACCAATAGTTTTATAAATTAAACAACACCTTAGACAATTTGTGAAAGGAAATCAAGACACAAAACAGGGGAATTCTGCTTTTTCTTGTAGTATCCCTTTAACAGTCCTAAAGGTCTTTTGGAATAACTAACACTTTCGCCTCTTTGGGTCAACATAGAAGTGCACTCTACCCACTAAAAAGGTAATTAAATCAAAAGCTGGCTGCTATTCACAGAGACATGCAAGTAGCTGTAAAATGGCATAATTTCCTTGAATAGAAAACATACAAATAGATTTTTGTAGCATTTATTCTTCCCTTGGCTATACACCACACTAAGCAGTGCCTTAGAATATACTACCAAGTCTTCTCTGCTACTGGTGAAAAAGAAAGCTTGCAAACATTTTACTACTATGGATTTTTCTATAGGATTGCAAAGAGAAAAAATATTCACATTAGCGAGGACATCCAGCTCATCTTATCACCAGGGCAAGTTGGGATTCTCCTCATGGCACTAAGGTCCGTAGAAGAGGGTCCCTAAAATATCAGAATCTATAGCAAAAAAATATGCTTAATATCATTGATTTCTCACCCACATAAATAACCACAAATTGCATTGGTGTCCTAGGAATGCATGAGCACATTTCCTGTAGGTTTGCTCTTTACCTAGAAATTCTAAGAATGTCCTTCTTCTAGACTCCCCAATAACTACTAGTGAAATACTAGTCATATCATAAAACCTCAGATGTAGATCAGATTTAGGGTGAAGAACACTGGGGAAAATCTTAGAATACATAGAACCCAACAACATAATGCCCCATCTGATAGCATACCCGTGGTGGTATTGGTTTTTGGGATTTACTGGTATTTATCTCCCCTCCATATAAAACAAAATAAAACAAAACCTGACTGTATTATCTGGCTATGACACTGAAATAAAGCTACATAAGTATTTAAAATATAGGAGTCTAATTAAGATGTAATCATGAATTTTTCTGCTCTTTAAGACTTTAAAATTCATAGAATTACCAAAGAGATTAAGATGATTTTGACCAGATATATTGCAATTACTTGTACAAACAAAGGACACATAGAAGAGTTATTCATCTTATTTATTGCAATTATTTTCTTTTGTCTTCATGAATTTCATAAAATATATGAATAAGAAAATGTAATGCCACTCAACATTTTTATAACAAAACAATTTGGAAGGGCTATAATAAATATTGAATTACTCTCCTAATAGATTCAAGGTCACGCAAGTAATGTATTGGCTAAATGACTATAGAGGTTGCTATTTTATTCTGCAATGATAAACTGAATTACTATGGCAAAATGTTGAAATAGCATTTGAACTTCTATCATTTTAAAATATCAGAGCTTTTAAAAAATTCTCATAGAATTCACATCGCAGTGTGCCTTACACATTAAGTAATGCAATCCTATCTTGGGATGTAACCCAATGGCATCATCACACACAAACATATTCATCATGCTGTCCTGCAGATTCAAAAAAGGAGAATGCTCCCTCTTTGAGTGTAACACACATCTCACTAACTTATCATATTCCTGTTGACTAGCAGGAAGCTGAAATAACTTCATGTGCTTTGAATATTTAGTTCAAAGTAATGTAAGAAAACATCTGTCACTTACGTTTTTGAGTCATCCCATAACACACAATAGGGATTCAAAGTACCCTAAAAATAAGCAGAGAAAGATTAAATGTATCTGGAATACATACATACAAAATTAAAGGATCGTGTAAAATGCAAACAGGATGTCAGAACTCTTAAATTGCAGTAAGATATTTTAAAATTCTACCTTTTTTCTTGCATAAAAATTTTTCATGTCCTTTTTCATAAATTTGATGGCTCCTTTCACAAAATTCTATTCATGAAAACAATTTATTAATTCCCAATACAATAACCTATCTATTTATTTATTTATTTTTTGAAAATTGAAAATGAAGCTCTCATATAACACAAGGTCCATACTTTGATGATTTATATTTTACTTTTTTCTCTAAAATATTAATTGCTGGGTTGTTTCCTTTAAGGAGATCAAGGTATTTACAATATTTAAATCACAGTGAAACATCCTGTATTAGGCACATGTGCAACCATTACCACTGCCATTTCCTCTTCCGCCTCTAATTGGTCAGCTAGAGGCTACAGATGTTTGCATTAATTGCCAATTTACAGAGTCTGTTGATTTGCAACATCTTCTTAATCAAGAGATTATTTTTATATAGAATCATGAGAATCTCATATAGAACTATGAGAAAAAAGTGCTCCAAGTTTAGTTATTATGTATTTAGTAGCCACCATGACCTTCAGGATGACACAAAGAGTTTTCTATACTGGAGTATCCAGGGAAGTACTTTCTGTTTTGAAGGATACAATCACTGGAAAATTTTTTTCTTTCTGTCTGCATGTCCACATCCATTGGGTCTTATTTTTCTCTTTGAATCTGATCCAGTAATTCTTCTTTTATGTCATATCTTCAGATACCTGCAGATTCTATCATACCCCTGAAGAACCTTCTTTTTTCTATTAAACATACTCTGTTAGTTTCAAGTTCTCTTATCCTCCACATCACTCATTTCCTGGAGCACACACTTTTAAAATGTGTTTAAAAAAACCATGCACTTGTGTCCTACTTGTGCAGAACGAAGTAGTGCTATTGCTTCTCCGATGTAGGTGCCATGCTCTTAGTAATGCAATCCGAGACTATATTAGATATTTTGGTAGTTTCCTCCTGTGATTGACAGGCATTACTCATACTTGAAATCTCTAAGGAGCTTTTTGAATCCTGACTTGTGCATCCCACATATTCACTATTGCTTCCAAGCTTTGTGTCATTACAGGATGAAGAAACAAACAGAACATCTATAACTTCACCCAACCAAGTCATTGATAAAATGATGACTAGGCTAAGGCAGGTAAAAGTTACAGTTCTGAAACAGGTACTGGCTTACTCTCACTGGCTTACTTCCTTAGTCTAGTCTACGTGTACATGATAACTGGGTTTTATCTGGCAAAACATCTTTAAAAAGCTAGACAGTCTCTTTGTGAAGCATTGCTCTTCTAAATTCTGTTTTCTGATTCCATTCTAGAATTTCACTAAAAATAAAAATTAAGCTCACTATTATAAAATTTGTGAAATCTACTCCTATTTTATGTTTTATTCCTTTTTATTGGAGAATTTGACTAACTTCAATATTTTAACACCATTACTATCCCCCAAATCCTCCACAGACCACATACCCAAGTTGCCATCCTTCTTATCAAATGCTCATACCTCTAAACTATGCTCTTAGAGCATAAAAATACTGCTTGGCAAAAGGTTACAGTCTTACAGAAGTTGATGAGGAATACACATATGGAATGTTTATACAACAATACAAGAGACATGTTCATATAAATGTGACTAGTCATAATTTACTGTGTAAGGGACAGATGAGGGACAGAGCATTATGGCCTGTGTTAGTTAGAACAAGTCTCATGGAAGAAGTGGGTCCTTAGATGGTTTTATAGGAGCATTAGATATGGATGTTGAAGGGATGGCGAGTGGAATGGTGTTTGAAATTGGTTTCTTCATCTGTCCGATGAGACTCTATCTGGTTTTACCTGAAATTTTCATACAGCTTGTGACTTCCTAAGAAATCCTCAGCAGAACTACAATGTTGTATCAAAGTCATGCTATATATATCAAGGGATTTTTTCAAAAGAGCTGAGAGCACTTTATAGAAAATAAATTATCTTTGGTATATTACAATGCAAGTTATGGGAGTATATATTTCATGGATTTAGAAAGTAAATGCACATGAAGAACCCGAGATAACAGATCCTTTCAATCTAGTTCACTTCTTTTAGTAATCTACAAGCAAGATTAAGTTACATCTCTATATAAACCAATACAGAAGGCTGATTATATGATTAATATTTCAAAATTGAAGTTCATAACAGGTTACAACAAAAGAAAATAATATTAGAAAAGAAATATTATATGAACTTAATTGTTTGGGTACCCCTTTCCTTTTCACTCCTCTAAGGAAAATGATTTCTACTTTCAGGTGAAAATAAAGATGAGAAACGCTTCTCTTCCTCTTATACCATGCCTTTTTCAGTCCTCAGCTTTATCCTGTACCTTCTTCACCCCTCATCTCTTAGATGTCTCTCCCTTTTTCTGTCTTTGTGAAAATTTAAAAAGCATCCACATGAGATTACAGGTTCCTAAATGCACCATTCAGTCTTATGCTTCACTGCACATTCTGGGACCTACACAACAGACAGACACCCGCCTGTGAACATGCATTCTAGTGCAGTCACTAGATGTGTGCTGTGAGCTGAGGTCAATTATTTAAACATTTGAAATTTAGAAAAATAAGCAGAACAGACAAATTAGAGGAATCTCATTACCTGGACAGAACACTCACTTAAGGAATAAAAGAATATGAGATGGGGCATCAAGAAAAAAAATGGAGGATTAATTTTAAATAAGAAAAAAAATGGCTACAAGGTTCTGCTAGGAAACCACTTGTAAAATACTTGCTATAATTTGTAGGTACTTTTCTCAATGGTACTCTGCTATAAGATCTGTTATGAGGAATTCATGGGAAATCAATAATGAAATAAATGGTGAGCTCAGTGACAGAGGAGTAACAAAATGTAAAGACATGAGAGAGAGGGAAAGAAGAAAGCTGCAAACTAACCTATAGAATTGATTTAAGAAATTCTCAAAACTAAGAAAACAAAAATCGACAGGTAAATGACACAAGTAGGCTAAACTTTAATTTACAAAGCTGTCAATGTAATTGACACTTGAAATATTAAAACTGCATGTATTTGAAAACTTTGGAAAGGATATGCTATTATTGAAACATGTTTTTAGCAAAAAAAAAAGGTTTTCTCTTGACTCCATTCAAAATTGCATAGTTGAACTCTTGTTAAACATTCCAACTCACCCACTTTTAAGCATTTTAAAAATGTTCCATGACCCAAATTTCCTAATTACCATAGATGTTCTACACACCACTTTCAAGTGTCTTTAATAGTATTTCCTATTTTCTTTTACTTCCCTATTCTGTTTCCACAACAACCAAACTAATATATCTGTTTAGATGTTGCTATTTTAGAATATAGCACGAGGTGTGTCTTTTCCTTTGGTCTGCATAACTTTTCTTTTTTCCTTTTTTCTTTTGGTGGTTCTCTCTTTTCCTTTGATTTGTACAACTTTTCTTTTTTCTTTTATATTATAGGAAATTTGACACCCCTTCTAGTCCTCGATTTCAGTGATTCTGGTACATTCACAAGCGAATTTTACTTTGGAATACTTTAAATACATTTCATTATGTTAAATTACTCTCACAAATTACATAATTCAGAAAAGAGAGCCAGGAAGACGAACAAAACAATTTGCTCCATTCATTCACTCATTCATGCAAAAATCACTTAGTAAACACCTGTACATTACAAGTATCCTCTGAACACTGGGAATACAACACTGAGCAAAACAAAACCCTGTTTCATATGCTTAACTATAGTGAAGGGAGCAAGGAGAGAGACAAAAAACATAAACAAGTAAATATATAATATGCTGGATAGTACCCTGTGCTATGATGAAATGTAAATTGCGATGAGTAGGAAAGAGTGGCAAGGGGATGGATTGCAATTGTGTATGTTGCGAAGGCTTTACCAAGAAAATAATATTTAAGCAGAGATCTGAAGGAAGTTGGTTAAAGAGTACAATCACAATAAAAATGAATAAAGGCCAAGTTTCTCTACTTTTTCCTTAGCGCTTTTAAGTTCTGAATAAATTCAGTTCACATACTATCTTAATTACATTCTGATATCTTAATGTTTTCAAAGGGTTTTCTCTGGATCTACTCTTGAATAAATGAGATGTTTATTAAAAATGTAGATTTCTTGGATCCATTAAGTTTGAAAGTGGGGTAAAGTAGGAACATGCATTCTAATAATTACACCCTCCACTTCCCTTTAATATTTATCCACATCAAATTTGGAGACATACTACTCAAGACACACACAACAGATATAACATGGTTACTTTACTCTGTTTTTCTTCAAACTTTCAATTGCTTAGTGCTCATGTGCCATAATAAATTCTGAATCCGGAAACCTCTTAGCTTTCTTGTACCTTTCATAGTCCTCTGGAAACAAAAATACCCTGTTTTCTATAATGGCCAAATGAGCAAACAGACAGAGCATCTAAGGACATAAAGAAGGGCAGTGACTTCATCATAACTATTTCATCACTTCCAATGCTCTGACTCAGATGTTCCAGGATGATTCTTTCTGTCATATCTTCTAGAGAATTGTACATTGACTTTTTGAATGTGGATGGGAGAAAGACTGTTCACTATATCATCTCTCTTTAATTTTCTAAATTTTAGACATAAAGGCATTACATTAAAATAACCTGGAGTTTGCTAAGCTTACCCTTCCTTTCTTTCCCCGCTAAAGTTTAGTTGTAATTGTTAGATAACTGCACAAATAAATTTTAGGAATTTCTCCAGAACATTTCCAAAATGACTGACCTGATTCAGAAAAAAAAAAATAATTTATATCCTGTTTATAATTCTCATGCTTCTTCAGAAAACACATACAAAAAATTCCAGGAATGCATGCTAGGGTAGGTAAGATCTTAGTAGATGTAAATTTTTCTGTAGTCTTAT